ATCGGGCACCAGGGAGGCTGAGGGATGGACATCGGGCATCGGGGAGGCTGAGGGATGGGGCATCGGGCACCAGGGAGGCTGAGGGATGGGCATCGGGCACCGGGGAGGCTGAGGGATGGGGCATCGGGCACCAGGGAGGCTGAGGGATGGGCATCGGGCACCAGGGAGGCTGAGGGATGGACATCGGGCACCAGGGAGGCTGAGGGATGGGCATCGGGCACCAGGGAGGCTGAGGGATGGACATCGGGCATCGGGGAGGCTGAGGGATGGGGCATCGGGCACCAGGGAGGCTGAGGGATGGACATCGGGCATCGGGGAGGCTGAGGGATGGGGCATCGGGCACCAGGGAGGCTGAGGGATGGGCATCGGGCACCGGGGAGGCTGAGGGATGGGGCATCGGGGAGGCTGAGGGATGGGGCATCGGGCACCAGGGAGGCTGAGGGATGGACATCGGGCATCGGGGAGGCTGAGGGATGGGGCATCGGGCTCACACATCTGTGAAAGCACATTATCGCTGAAACACTAAATGGGCTCCTGCCAAACCGGTTTGATGTTGACAAGGGTATCTTTTAACAGCTGTCCCACCGGTTACCAACTTCTCTGCCAACACAGGCCTTTAGTCAGTAAAAAAGGGAGGAAAAACGTGGTCACGGGGCTTCGGGAGTCCCGGGTTTCTGGCTTCCTAGCCGGCGTTTTAACTCGTTGTTGACTGGGACTAACCATCCTTGACGTGACATGCGACCGGGAAGCGTAAACGTAAACCACGCGGCACGCGGCATCTAATACACAGCTACTCCCCATCCGCCGTACGTCGCCCATAATGACAGCAGCCAGGCGGCCAGTGCACGGGGCAGCTGAGTCGCAGCGGGAAGGTGGGATGGAGGAACAGGCGGGAGACCAACGCGGGTGGGAGGAAAGGGGAGCAAGAGGAAGCGGCGGGGGAGGTCCAGGGGGACGTCACCATCCTCCGACCACTCACCCAGCAGAGTCCCGATGACTCGGGCAGCACCCTCGTTGCGTCGCTCGTAGCTGTCCACGATGGAGGCCAAAATGACCGGGTGCAGCCGGACCACACGGCCGCCGGGGAAGGGGCCCGGGAGAGCCGGAGCGGCCAGCGACTGCGCCGGGGTCTGCGCCGGAGCCGGCGCGGAGGCTGGGGTCTGGCCCGGAGCCGCGCTCGCAGCCGCCGCCGCCGCCGGGTCTGGGGAGGAGGCGGGCGCCGGAGTTGGAGCTGGAACCGGCGCCGGAGCAGGAGGCGGAGAGAGCGGTGGAGCTGGGGTTGGGGCCGGGTCTGGGGCTGAGGCCGGGGCCGCAGCCGGGGATGTGGCGGGCGGAGGAACGCTCGCCGGGACTGCCGGTGTGGCCATCTTGTCGAGAGAGAAGGAGCGTGGAGCGGAAGGGAGGAAGCGGGCCGGCCTCGACAGCCCCATAGGCTGAGCGCGCACCGCGTGACCAAGACCTCTGTTCCTATTGGTTACTGATGATGGTTCTCACGGCACTGCAATTTCCTGCTCGGAGCTCGTGCTCGTGGCTCTCTGTCCGATGCGCACTCAGTGAGAGCCGAGTCGAATGGTTCCGAACAAACTTGTGACTGCGCTGGAAGAGAAACAATTCAGTCTGACAGTTGCCGCCAGATGGAGGCAGAGAGCTGCGCAAGGCTCGCAAATCGTGTTTCGGACTTCAATGGGCTAAGGGCTGTCAAAGTGGCTTTTATTACAAAGGGCGTTGTTTTTGACAGTCATAAGGTGTAAATCTGTCATCAGGTTTATTCATTCAACAAATTGACTATGTGCCAGACTTTTGTTAAGGCACTTGGCATATATCAGTGAACAAAACGAAGATCGTTTTCTCTGAGAAGTTTACATTCTGGAGGGGCGTGAACAATAAGTACATTATACAATATGTTAGATTAACAGTTAAAAACTGATTCGCTGCCTTAGCAGGTTTGGTTCAGTGGATAGAGTATCGGCCAGAGAACTGAAGGGTTCGATTCGGTCAAGGTCATGTACCTCCGTTGTGTCTCTCTCACATTGATGTTTCTCTCTCACACATTGATCTTTTTCTCTCTCTGTCCCTCCCCCTCCCTTCCACTCTAAAAATCAATGGAAAAATATCCTTGGGTGAGGATTTAAAAAAAAAGTCATGTGCTAAAAAAGAAGAAAGTAGCAGAGAGTAAGGGGGAATCAGGTGTTGTGAAAAGTTAGGTCAGGAGAATGTGAGGTTTGAGTGAACTTGAAAAAGGCGAGGGAGGTGCCCATGGGGGACAAAGGTGGGGAGGAAGAGCCTCCAGGTAGAGGGGAAGCTGGTGCAAAGGCCTCAGGCAAGAGCAGGCCTGGCGTGTTTGAGGAGGCGATTTGATGGCTGGAGTGTTAAGGTGAAGGCAGGGAGTAGCAGCAGAGGCACCTCTAAAGAGGGGTTGGGCCCAGATCCGTGAGGACCTCCTAGTCAGTGATGGCGAACCTATGACAGGCGTGTCAGTGGCGACACGCGAACTCATTTTTTTGGTTGATTTTTCTTTGTTAAATGTCATTTAAATATATAACATAAATATCAAAAACATAAGTCTTTGTTTTACTATGGTTGCAAATATCAAAAAATTTCTGTATGTGACACGGCACCAGAGTTAAGTTAGGGTTTTTCAAAATGCTGACACGCCGAGCTCAAAAGGTTCGCCATCCCTGTTAGGCCGTGGTGAGGCGCTGACTTTTCGTCTGAGTGAGATGGGGAACCATTCCTGGGTTTTGAGCAGGGGAGGGTCATGATCTGCCTTGTTTTAAAAGGATCACTCTGGTTGTGTTGAGAAGAATAGGATGGGGGAGAGGCAGGTGAGAGAGAAAGAGCAGAGAGGCGTGGTAGGAGCATACCAGGTAATCTAAGTGAGGGATGATGGTGGTTGGCACCAAACTAGTAGCAGTACAACTGGTGAGAGGTGGGCAGATTTCGGGTATATTTTGAGGGTGGAGACAAGAGGATTTTCTTTCTTTCTTTCTTTCTTTCTTTCTTTCTTTCTTTCCTTTCTTTCTTCCTTCCTTCCTTCCTTCCTTCCTTCCTTCCTTCCTTCCTTCCTTCCTTCCTTTCTTTCTTTCTTTCTTTCTTTCTTTCTTTCTTTCTTTCTTTCTTTCTTTCTTCAGGATTTTCTGAGAAACTGTATAAGTGTGAAAGAGATGACTCCAGCTTTTGTGTGCTGAGCAACTAGTAAAGAAGTTGTCTGACTGCTAGTGAAAGCTGCAAGTGGAGCAGGTTTCTGGGAAAAGACCATTTTTGGATGTGTCACCACTGAAATGTCCATTAGACATCCCAGCAGCATTGTGGAGTGGTCAGCGGAGATTCTAGTCTGTACTTTGGGAGAGGATTAAGCGAATAATGCTCTCTAAATCTCTTAGCATGTGCCTGATTACAGCAGTTATTAAGTGGTAGCTATTACCATTACTATGTGACGAAAAGAGGTCTGATGCGAATGCGCACTGTGTAACTGGGCAATCTATACATAGGTAACTCTTTCTGAGCCTCGCCTTTTTTCTTGGTATAATGGGGGTGATAACACCTGGATGACAGGAAATCTGTCATCTCCCTTAATTAGGCCAAGTCCCAGCATTCAGCTGTCAAGTTGGGTGAATGAGTTTGGGCTTTATGCCCAAGAACTGCTTCCTACTATAATGAGAATCGACACAATCCTGCTCCCCTGTCAGTGCTCTGTGTAGACATGCATTATTTTTTAAATCCCCCCAAACACAGGTATGCAGTCTATTAGAGAAGAATTGGATTTGATGACCTGGATCTTCAGCAACCCTAGTACAGCACTGTCAGTGGAATTGGGGTGTGGGGAGAAGCACATGGAAATCAGAATTCAGATGTGAAGGAATCGTCAGTTTGAATTGCTGGTAGTGAGTGTTGGCTACGCTCAAGGAAGTTGCTGGGAAGGAGAAGAGACATTTAAGGCAGTAGCTAGGAGAACATCAGGACTGAGAGGGGGACAATTTAGGCTGGAAGAGCTTTGAGTATATTTTAAACTAAGGGTCAGGGTCTAGAGGAGAAAAATAGAATATACAAATGTGAGTAAGGGGAGCTATGTAATTAAACAAGGCAGGAATGGAGAAGCCTAGCTGGGAGGATGGTCATGGGCAGGATGAGGAAGATGCTGGAGAGGCTGCCCTGGGCTGTGGCCTCCCTTATGGGTTCTGGTGGGGGTCTGCCTTAGCCCAGCTGGCGCCCTGAGATCCTTCCATAGCGAGAAGTCCAGAGGAGAGAACCACCCCCGATGAAGAGGTGTTGCTGCCCCTACTGACCATGCACAACCCTTGGGACCTCCTACTCATATGCTGATTTGAGTTGGATGTGGATCCTTCATCACCAAGAACTAAAGATATTTCTCTTTGGTAAGAAAGGATAAAGGGAAGGATGAAGAATCGGAGACACTTTGGAGAGAGAAGGGAAGTTGTAGGAGCTCCTGTCAAGTCATGTTTTTCTGAGGGAATTGCAGGCAAGGTGATCTGCAGAGAATGGCAATGCAAGGCTGGGGTTCAGCCTTGGGGCAATGGAAGGGCAGCGAGCGAGCTATCAAAGGCATTGATTGATCAATTATGGGAGCCCGGAGACTTCAAGGATCTGGTCAAGTTTTACAATTTCCTCCAGCCACATAGTTCAGGGGCAGGAGGAGAGAGGGCGTTGGCATGGCCTTCCCAGGGATACTGACTGGCCAGAACGAAGGGGTGCACACATCCAGGATGTTGGCTTTTCAGTGGCTGACTGAGGTATCCAGGTAGGCTGAACTCTGTTTACAGAATGATGAGAGAGAGAAAGGGAGGAAAGGGTAAGGGGGAAGGAGAAGAAGAAGGAGACGGAGGAGGAGGAGGAGGAGGAGGAGGAGGAGGAGGAGGAGGAGGAGGAGAAAGAGCGAGAGCGCTGTACCCATCAGCTAATTTTATGTTTCTCTCTCTGTTTCGTCTGCTTTGACTTTCTGTTTCTTCTGCTCATTTCTCTCTTGTGCCTCTTTGTCTCTCTTCTGACTGTTTCCACCCTTGGCCTCTGTCTCTGTTGTCTCCATCCCTTCCTTTTTGGGCTTCAACTGTACCAGATGTCAGTTCTGCCCACAGCCAGGCCAGGGTTAACAGGGAGGGAGATCTCATTTCATTTCCTGCCTCCACCCTCCAATTAAAATTAGTCCTTTTGCATCTCATTTCTACTTCCTTCAGGTGTGTGTCTCAGTCCCCAGATCAGTGATCTCCAGGCCTGGAGCCTTCTAGGGGAGTCGGACCCCGACCCGGACCCGAGAGCCTTCCCAGTAAGTGTCCTCACTCCTCTCTTCTGTCACAGGATCCATGAGGCTGTGTTTCACTCTATTTTCCCATCTTGGTTTCTTGGGCTTGGCTCTTTGCTGTAATGTTTCTGTTTCTAGCCTCAGCTTGGGTAAGGCTCTGGGAGGGACCAACTCCTATTCCTACCTGTTCTCCCGGACTCTGAGAGGACTCCCCGAGCAATGGGCATGGGAAGCTCGGAGGCAGAGGAAAGGTGCACGGAAGAGAGGCTGCCAGCAGTCACCTCCTTCCCTAGCCCTCTCATGCTTAGGGGATGCTCTTACTCATCTTTTATGGAGAATACAGGGACCACCAGACATGATTACCCTTCCAGTGTGGTTATAGTATACAGTGTGGTTATATTAGTTAGATCAGTGTTCAGTGGCTATGTGATTATTTCTATGCAAATGTTATTTACACTTGAGTGTTATAATTTACTATTATGTAAAATCTGACTTCCTTTGTTTTTCCTCTGTTATTTTTTTTCCTAGAGCTAGTAGTTTCCTTGTTTCACCTTTGTGTAAATCTCCTGGTATTTGTGGTTAGTTTTTCTCCTACCTTCTAATGGCCCCTCAGTAGGATGCTTTTGAAGGCCAGTGGCGCCAGTAAACCTCTCCATCCATCCTTCTCCCCTTGGAGAGTATTTATCAGAACCCCTCCTGCTTGGTCAGGGCTTCCCGGGCCATCAGCTGCCAGGCCCTCGGACCAGCTGCCTTCCAGGCCTTGGTTTTGCTCCTTGTTTGGGTTTCTGCTTCATGAAACTCCAGGCTTCCTTCCGCCTTTTTCATTTTGGTGGATGTGAGCATGTCATCCAGTGGTTTCAACAACTGAAAGAGAGGGTGCCACGGCCAAGGAGGTGGTAGTGACAGCACCCCGATTCCTTTGTTTCTCTGTCAGACTGCCCCAGCCTGGCCTGGAGTCACATAACAGAGGAGGGTTGGAGTCCAGAGGGAGATGGGGCATCATTTTCTGTTGCTGACAGAAGTTTTCTTCAGCCCCTGCCTTGTTTCTCAACTGTAATATATTGAAGAATGAGGGCAAGTTCTCTGCTGGTGAGGTCAGGTGGAATGTGTGGTGTTTGTCTTTCTTCACCTGGTCCAGCCCACAGGGCCGGGTGAGTTTCATAGGCTAGGTGTCCAGGTGTTCACGCCCAGACCTTTAACACCAGCCTCACCAGGCAGAAGTGAACCAGTGAGCTTGGGCTAGAGCAGTGGTCGGCAAACTCATTAGTCATCAGAGCCAAATATCAACAGTACAACGATTGAAATTTCTTTTGAGAGCCAAATTTTTTAAACTTAAACTATATAGGTAGGTACATTGTTATTAACTTAATTAGGGTACTCCTAAGGCTTAGGAAGAGCCACACTCAAGGGGCCAAAGAGCCGCATGTGGCTCGCGAGCCGCAGTTTGCCGACCATGGGGCTTGTGGACCAGGGCTGGCGCGGGAAGCTGTCTGATCAGAAAGGGGATCTGTTTCAGTCAGTTCCCAGGACCCTGCCTGGAGCTCACTGTCGGGGGCTCACCTCCCGCGCTCCCAGCCTCCAGCCACTGAACAGCCTGGAGGGCACATGCAGGCAGGCTCCAGTGCTGTCTTTTGTTCTTTCTGGGCTGCCCACTGCAGAGATTTGCAGGGGAGCCTGAGGCTTCATTGCAAATCGCTCCTGCCTTTCCCAATTGCCCTGCGACTTGCAGCCAAAGCCGGATCCTAATGGAGTCCTGCAATTTTCTCTCTTCTTTTGGTATGGACTCAAAATGCTGATGTTGGAAGCTAAACCACTTTCCTGGTTTCCAAATACCTTTTGCTCACTCTCAGACATTTACTACCGAGATGGTTTCCCCACTGGCTTTAGATCACAGACACCATTCTGAACTCGGAAAGTTTTCTATCGATGGTTGGTTTTCTTCTTCTGAGGACTGGTACCCTGCCCACATTTTCATTCTCTGTGTCAAATACAACGTAAGACCCCACTCTCCTTTCTCTGCTGCTTTCATCTCTACATCTCCTTCCAGGTTCGGGTAGCAGTTAGCCTAACTACCTGGTTTCTGTGCCCATCTACTGTGTCTTTGTGTTCATCTCTTTCTCTATCTGCCCAGGTCATGGACCAGAACTTAAATCTCGCCTCTATACCCACTGGTCTAGCGCTAGAAAATTCTGAAAATTTCTCATCTGGAGGGATCCCCAAGACAGTTTACATGATGGTCAAAGGGATAATATATGTTAATCACCCAGCACAAAGTGGGCCCTCAAAGCAGCCATTTAAAAAAATATATATTTTATTGATTTTTTATAGAGAGGAAGGGAGAGGGATAGAGAGTTAGAAACATCGATGAGAGAGAAACATCGATCAGCTGCCTCCTGCACACTTCCTACTGGAGATGTGCCCGCAATCAAGGTACATGCCCTTGACCGGAATCGAACCGGGGACCCTTGAGTCTGCAGGCTGACGCTCTATCCATTGAGCCAAACTGGTTAGGGCAGGGGCCATTTCTTTTATATCATGGTTTAAACTTGTCTACTTATCTGAATGATAAGACTTCCTGCTTTGAAATTCTGTGTTACTGAGTCCATGAGGCTGATGTGTAAGGCCAATGGTTGATGAGTATAGATTGTGTGTGTTTTTTAATTTGTACTTTTTAAAAAAATATTTTTAAATTGATTTCAGAGAGGAAGGGAGAGGGAGAGAGAGATAGAAACATCAATGATGAGAGAGAATCATTGATTGGTTGCCTCCTGCACACCCCCAACTGAAGATCAAGCTTGAAACCTGGGTATGTGCCCCTAACTGGACGTGAACCTGGGACCCTTCAGTTAGTTTGCAGGCTGATGCTCTATCTACTAAGCCAAACCAGCTAGGACAGTATAGTTTTTTTTTGTTTTTGCTTTTTATCTTTTACCTTCTTGCCATATCTCTGCAGTCCCAGAAAAATAAAATTGTTTTCTTAACCCTGACTGTCTAAGGAGGCATACAGGGCCTGATAAACACTGTGTGTGAGAGGGAGGGAGAAGGGAGGGGGGAGATAGAGACAGATAGAGATCCACACACCCACACACCTTACTTCTACTTGCCACGCAATGACGAAGAGGCACGCAGGGAATCGCCCTGCCTTTCTTGGAACTTGGCATGCCTCTCTGTCTCCCTGGCCGTGCTCCGTGGCTTGCCGAGCACCCAGAAAGCAGGGCAGACTGAGGCGCCTTCGGCTGCTCTTCCCTCAGCAGTGCACTCCCCTTTCTTCTCTCCCCCTTCTCCAGGTCACAGGTCTGAACTTGACCCTTCACACCAAGTACCATGGCCCTGGCCCTGACCAGCAACCCACAGGAGGCATTGCTTTTGGCCTTGAGTGAACTTGATGAAAATGACTTGAAGACATTAAAATTCCACTTACGGGACAGATCCCTGCTTGGGGGCCAGGGGCTGGCCCGAGGGGAGCTGGAGGGCCTGAGTCGGGTGGACCTGGCTTCTCGGCTGGTTTTGAGGTACGGAGCGCAGGAGGCTGTGAAAGTGGTGTGCAAGGTGCTGCAGGTCATGAACCTGTTAGAACTCGTGGACCAGCTCAGCCACATCTGTCTAAATGGTGAGTACAGCAGAGGACAAGGGGAGGTCAGGGTGGCACTGGACTCCCCCTCCCCCATGACATTTCTAAAACATTTTTTAGGTCTTCTTTCACTCTTGCCCTGTGATGCGTGGGAGCCCCTGTGCCTGAGGGTCCTAGTGGCCCTAGTGGTCTCCAGCTAATGACTCATGACTGTGGGGTGAAGGGTGGTAGCCGAGGGTGGGGTTTATTTATAGAAAGATTAGGGGATCGCCCTGACTGGTTTGGCTCAGTGGATAGAGCGTTGGCCTGTGGACTCAAGGGTCCCAGGTTCGATTCCGGTCAAGGGCATGTACCTTGGTTGCGGGCACATCCCCAGTGGGGAGTGTGCAGGAGGCAGCTGATCGATGTTTCTTTCTCATCGATGTTTCTGACTCTCTGTCCCTCTTCCTTCTTCTCTGTGGAAAATCAATAAAATATATATATTTAAAAAAAGATTAGGGGATCTTATAGCCACTATCTCCAGTTGTGGTGCCAGAGAGGGAGAGAGTGGAGAAAGGGGCTTGGAGACTTGGGGAGGTGTTGACGAAGGGTTTCCGGCTAACCAGAGTAATGGCTTCTGGGCGTGGGTCAGTCCTCTCCCTGGCTGCTCTCCCGCAGGCAGCAGAGAGGACAGCCTGCTCCTGTGCCTGGCTCTTCCAGGGAACTGGTGGGCGACGGTGCCCTGGAGAGTGGGGTGGCATGGAGCCCAAGAGGCCTCCTGTCCCTTCTCCTGGAGACAAGGGAGTGTATGTGGCGCCAGTGCTCCCTCCACAGGCTCCTTTCATGCCCGAGAGCACCTGTGCCCAGACATGGGAGTTTCCAGAGACTCAGAGCCATGCTCCTGCTCAGCAGCTGGTTTACCTGCAGCCACTGACCGACCTTTACCTAGAACAGCCTCCTGTGGCTTCACCAACCTGCAGCTCCCCTTCCCTTTGTCCTCTCTCTTCTCACCATTTCAAATGCACATGCATTCACATACACACAGACTTTTGCATGTACATATATTCTTACAAACACATATTTGCTGATGCCCACTGACATGCCTTCCCTACACAAAAATACACAAACTTCCATAAGAATGCTTCCATGAGCACGTATGGATACAAGTGTTCACTACTTCCCACACATATTCACACACTAAACACTTGTTGCACACTTACACAGATGTGCATACGAACACCACACACATTAATATGCACATATGTGCATGCACACACTCATCCTATTTAATAAAAGAGTAATATGTAAATTAACCATCACTCTGCGACAAAAATGGCGGTGCCAATAGTGGCCGGAGCGGGATGCTGGCGGCATCGCCCTGGCAATGCAAGCCCAGCATCCACACCCCGGCCGTGCAGAGGGAGGGGAGGGGCGAGGGACTCTGGCGTTATTGCAGGCCGGGCTGAGGAGCCTCCCCCCCCCCATGTGCATGAATTTCATGCACTGGGCCTCTAGTACATATATATGTACAGTGGTCCCTCCCCATGAAGCCAGATGTATAACCTTCATGGGAATACAGTTAGAGAGCATAGAGAATGAGCGTAAAGAGCAGTGTCCAGAGTTTGCAGGGCCATTTTGCCTTTTTTTGTTCCCATCTCACTACCTAATGCACCATGTGTCTGGCTCAGATTACAGAGAAACATACCGAGAGTACGTACGCTGCCTGGAGGAGAGACAAGAAGAGGGAGTCAGCCGCACCTACAACCAGCTGCTCCTGGTGGCCACTGCCAGCCCGGGAAGCCCTGAGCCTGAGCAGGAGCAGGGCTCTGTCACAGTGGAGGCTCTGTTTGATCCGAAGGAGATGCCGACTCCAGGCCCGGCCACAGTGGTGCTGCAGGGATCCGCTGGCACAGGCAAGACAACACTGGCAAGAAAAATGGTGCTGGACTGGGCCACTGGCGAGCTGTACAAAGACCGGTTTGATTATGTCTTTTACGTGAGCTGCAGAGAAGTGGTCCTGCTGCCGGAGGGCACGCTGGACCAGCTCCTCCTCTGGTGCTGCGGGGACAGTAAGGCGCCCGTCACCGAGATCCGGAGGCAGCCCGAGCGGCTCCTGTTCATCCTGGACGGCTACGACGAGCTGCAAAGGCCCTTTGCCAAGAGGCTGAGGAGGCCGGGGCCCAGCCCCGCGCAGGACACGCTGCGCCGGCTCATCCGGAGAGAGGTACTGCCCACGTGCTCCCTGCTCATCACCACGCGGCCCCTGGCTCTGCGGAACCTGAAGTCCTTGCTCAGACAACCGCGCCATGTCCACGTCCAAGGCTTCTCTGAGGAATCGAGGGAGAAGTATGTCCAGTCCTATTTCACAGATGGGGAGCAAGCCCAGAAGGCCTTTGACTTCATACGTGGAAATGACGTTCTCTACCAAGCATGTCTGGTTCCAGGCATCTGCTGGGTGGTCTGCTCCTGGCTGAAGGGGCAGATGGAGAGAGGCGGGGAGGTCTCGGAGACTCCCAGTAGTGGCACCGACATCTTCATGGCCTACGTCTCCACCTTCCTGCCGCCCAGTGACAACGAGGATCCCTCTGAGCTCACCCGAGACAGGGTCCTGAGGGGTCTGTGCTCCTTGGCAGCCGAGGGGATCCAGCACCAGAGGTTCCTGTTTGAAGAAGCTGACCTCAGGAAGCACAGCTTAGATGGGCCCAGCCTGGCTGCTTTCCTGAGCAGCCAGGATTACCAAGAGGGGCTTGACATCAAGAAGTTCTACAGCTTCCGCCACATCAGCTTCCAGGAGTTTTTTCACGCCATGTCCTACCTGGTGAGAGAGGACCAGAGCCAGCTGGGGGAAGAGTCCCTCAGGGAGGTGAACAGGCTGCTGGGTGACAGGGAGCAGGCGGCGGGGGAGGAGATGACCCTCAGCATGCAGTTTCTATTGGACATATCGAAAAAAGAGAGCTCCTCCAACTTGGAGCTCACGTTCTGCTTCAAAATCTCCCCCTCGATAAAGCAGGATCTGAAGAATTTCAAAGAGCAGATGAGCTCTCTAAAGCATAGCAGGACCTGGGAGTGGGACTTCTTCCTGAATGAGGCTAAAATGAAGAGTCTGGCTAACTGTGTTCAGATGAGCAATGTGGCGTTTACGATGGAACATTCAAATGAAAAGAAATCCCACAGCAAGAGCTCATTTTCTGTCAAAACCAGCTTGAGTGATGCCAAGAAAGGGGAGCGAAAATGTCTAGTTGTGAACGAAGGGAATGTAGCAGGGACACAGAAGCAGGCTGCTAATGGGAAAAGCAGAGGGAAGAGGAACTAGAGACCAGGATGGTAGAGGTAGGAGTAGGACAGGAAGCACACAAATGGAGACACTAGAGCTGATGGTGGGGTGGAGAGACAGAGGGAGAGGGAAGACCGTAGACAGGAATGGAGAGATGTGAGATTGAGTTAATGGGCACAAGGAGTGGAAGGACAGAATAACAAATAGAAAAGAGAAATAGATAGAGGGTCAAGAGATTTGGAACATAGGACGTGGGGAGAGCCATGTGGAATGAGTCCCTAGGAACAACCACGTGTCAACAGTGGCTCAGGGTTAGTTGTTTAGCACCACCCACCCCCAAGGCTGTTTGTAAATTCCCCAAATGTAATCTTATGAGGGTCTGACATTTGACTCTTTCCTATAAAAATAAATTCCTTAATATAATAAAATGTGGATTGTGCTCACTCTATAAGATAATGTGAAGCATATCAATGTCAGCATTTAAAGGAAATGTACTGTGATATAATGCAATGTCCCTTTGACTCTGTATTTGTGATCAATTGCTGCTTAAATAAATAGTATCTTTCCATCTTTCTAGAAGCTTCTAGAATTTCCATGCTGGAAATGAGCTATGGCTTGTCACAGACATTTGGTCTTAGAAGCTATACTGTAACTTGACTTACCTCTATGCTAATAACATGCCACTGTTGTCTCCAGCTGTACCATTAACTGACTCCTTTTTGGAAAGAGCAGTTATTTCTAAGCACTAATGAAAGCTTTTTCCTGTTTTGGTTCCCTCTGTATATAAAAGAAGAAGAAGAAAAGGGATTATAGATGTAGGCGTGGTCAGGTCCCAACCCTTATTTCACAGATGAGGAAACTGAAATTCAGTCAGGAGTCCCATTCATTTCTGGGGTTTGTAGACGCTCTCAGAGACCCTGTGCAGGCACCGTGAACCTCCCCGCATCCTGCTGTTGCTGCTGGCTCCAGTGCAGCTGAAAGCGATGCTGCCTCGAACTCCCCGTATCCCTCAGAAAGTACAGACGCTCCTCACACATTTTTACTGCTGTCATGACTCTTCATGAGCTGATTCCACGTGTGCCAATTGCAGCAATCTGCTGCACGTGCCCATACATCTGAATCCAGGAAACTCAGCCCTGACCGGTCAGCTTCCTATGCCATGAGAACAATTATTATTAAGTCTTCTTCTCACAGGAAGCTTGGTGGCTCTACATTTGGTAATAATATTCATAGCATGTTGAACACAGACTGCTTGTATATATAGAATGTGTAAGAAACAATATGCATGTACTTCTTTATAAAGAGAAATTTGTGCTGGATTACTGAAGAGGCTAGTTGGCACCCACTGGGCTAGGCTGTGTTGACTCCTGAAGAGCTTGGATGTTCTCAGCAGGCCAGCTCTTGGATGTCGTAGAGAATCTGGGAACAATGAAACAGGTGCCCAGCCACATTGCTGAATTTTCGTGTGGCCCAAGACGTCTATTTTATAAAAACATGGTTCAAACTCCAATTGGGGTTTAGAGAAGGTATTTCACTTAGGATTCACATTCAATTCAAACTAACTTTAACAAAAATAAATGACTTACTGTATTCATTTATATTAAAAAAAACTGACTTCCAGTTTTAGGTACGTCTTGCTCATTCTAACAGTATCATCAAGGCTTTCACTCTCTCTCCTCTCCGTCCTGGTTAGAGTTACCTTTCTTTGGCTCTCATTTCAGAAAGTAATCTTCACCCGGAACTGTCTTTACAGTCAATAATCCCAAAGGAAGAGAAGACGTTTTACTAATGGCTGTAGCAAGGAGTTGGGGGAGGGTATGACTGACCCTGGTATGTGCCACACCTTGAACAGTCCCTGTGGTCTGGAAGATGAACTCTGATGGGCTAGACCTGAGTTTCATGGCTTAGGTCACATGGCCATACTTTCTAGGTCACTCTGCCACACCCCTAGGGCTGAGTACAAAAGGATCAACACCTCCAGAAATGCATGGACTGGGAGAGTGACTCCTAAAGGAAAGGATTTTGAACAGAAAAAAATAATATGTCATACAGCTATGTACACAGACACAGTGTGTCTGATGGACTGGGGTTCCCTGAGGGAGCATGACCCTCTGTGCAGAAATGCAATCCCTTCCTTATCTACTGATCCCACTGCCTGCTGATGGGACTCACTCTTGCTTTTCTTCTTATTTCCCTAAGAGACTCAGGAAGATGATAAGCTCTGTGTGTCATACTTCCAGGTCCCAATGAGTGTCCTAACACGACAGAGGGGACTGAAGCGTCCACGTAGGGCTCGTAGCAATGCCTTTAAAGTCAGACTCTCAGCCTGTTCAATGAAGGGAGAGTCAATCCAGAGAATATCCCTTCATTAGTAGAATATGTGGCTATTCATCCCTTGGATCCTTTTATACCCTTTCCCCCATGATTTCTGGGCTTGGGAACCAGGCCTCAAACTGTGCAGAGTCATTGAAGTGATTCATTTATGGACTTCTCCTTGGCCTGGTTTCTGTTTATTCTCCATTCTTCCTTTTACCAAGATTTGAAATCCTCTCTTCATGCACCACATCCATGTCCTCCAGCACTATCAATGCACCCCCTAAAGTATTTCTTGTTTTGTTCACCCTTTCCACCCTCTCTATCCATCCTTCCAGTCTGTCTTGCCAAAACAACTAATAAAATTTGATTGGGTTTCAGCTTTCCTCTTCCTCCCTGTATTCACACAATAATTTAAAGTGAACAGTGTGCTTTCTCATATGAATAGGGAGGGGCATTTGAGTGTTGACTTACCATCATTCATTGGCTTCCTTCCCCTCCCAACAGTACCTTCATTTCTCTTGGGGATTTTTTCATTAAACCTTTTTAGGACTGGTTTATCAGTTATGGGGTACGGACCATGAAAAGTGCATATTAAGCAGCATTTCCCAGCCTTGTCGTAGTCACAGTGTCTGGTGTATGATTTCACAGTGAGAAATAAGGGAGGGGTCCTTGGATTGGTTTTTGTGAGTTAGAATGCTTTTTTTTTTTTTTTTTTTGCAGGATAACTGGTATGTTTCCACAAGACACAGATTAGAGAAGATGTATCCCAAAGTGGTGTTGGCAGACTTAGTGCGTCTAGGAGGGGAGAGCTTCCTTGAGAATAGAACCTAATCTAAGAAAACAGAGATGAAAAAAATAGAGAAAGAAAACCCATGCAGGTCCTGGTTACATCATCAGAGTTCTGGATAAAGCCATGCCTGCAACTTCATTCATCCCTGCATTCTGCTGGGACTGAGCCAATGGTCTCAATGATTATTCAGGACAGAATAGTCCTGGCTAGGTAGATTAGTTGGTTAGAGCATTGTCCCAATATACCAAGGCTGGATGTGAGGGCGATCTGGCTGCGACATCTGTCACCCCATTGATCGCCAGGGTTGATTCGGCTGATCTGGCTGGCTAGGCGGGTGTCCCCCTCCTCCCTCACCGATCCATGTGCGTCCCTCCCGAAGCTGCGCGCTCGGTCGAAGAGGACGACCTCCCCCCCCCCCCCCCCCCCCAGGAGAGGACCGGTCTTCGGTCAAGGGTATACGAGTAGCTGCGCTCCCCTGCTAGAACCTCCAAACAAGCTCTCAAGGTCCAATATACCAAGGTTGCAAGTTTGAGTCCCAGTCAGGGCACATATAAGAATTAATGAAGGCATACATAAAGTGGAACAACAAATCGGGAAAAAACATACAGATGGCCAATAAACATATGAAAAAATGTTCAACATACTAATCACCAGAGAGATGACAATGAAAATTAAAACTACAATGAGGTCACCTCACACCTGCCAGAATGGCTACTATCAATAAATCAACAACATGTGCTGGTGAGGATGTGGAGAAAAGGGAATCCTAGTACACTGTTTGTGGGAATGCAAGCTGGTGCAGCCACTGTGAAACATGGTATTGAATTTCCTCAAAAAATTAAAAATGGAACTGCCTTTTGACCCAGCAATATATTCTGGGAGTATATCCTAAGAATCCCCAAAGACAAATCAGAAAGAATATATACACCCCTATGTTCATAGCTGCATACAATAACCAAGAGCTTGAAACAGCCCAAGTGCCCATCAGCAAAGGAGTAGACAAAAAAGCCGCAGTACACCTACACAATGGAACACTATGCAGCTGTATGAAAGAAGGAACTCCTACCATTTGCAACACCATGGATATTATTATGCTAAACGCAATAAGCCAGTCAGAGAAAGACAAATATCATATGATCTCACTTATATGTGGAATCTAATGAACAAATAATAAAGAGGTGATATGCAAATTGACCCTCACGCCCTCGCATCACAAGATGGCCACCCCCATGCCATCACAAGATGGCCACCCCATGTTGTCACAAGATGGCTCCACAAAGATGGCCACCCCACATCATCACAAAATAGCCGCTGCAAAGATGGCCACCCCCATGTCGTCACAAGATGGCTGCCCCCCATCATCACAAGATGGCCACCACAAGATGGTCACCCCCACATTGTCACAAGATGGCCAGCAGAGGAGGTCAGTTGGGGGGGACCAGGTCTGCAGGGGAGGGCAGTTGGGAGCGATCGAGCCCGCAGGGGAGCAGTTAGGTGTCAATCAGGCTGGCAGGGGAGTGGTTTGGGGTGATCAGGCTGGCAGGCAGAAGCGGTTAGGGGCAATCAGGCAGGCAGGCGAGTGGTTAGGAGCCAGCAGTCCCGGATTGTGAGAGGGATGTCTGACTGCCTGTGGGATTTGGCCTATCGGGCCTAAACCGGCAGTCAGACATCCCCCAAGGGGTTCCAGATTGGAGAGGGTGCAGGCTGGGCTGAGGGACACCACCCCACTGACCCCAGTGCACAAATTTCGTGTACTGGGCCTCTAGTAAAATGACAAACAAAGTAGAACCAGGGGCACAGATACAAAGAACAGACTGACAGAGGTCAGATGGGATGAGATTGGGAAGGACTGTATAAAAGAGGGTGAAGAGTGTAGCCAAAGAGCTTATATATGTAATCCATAGACACAGGCAACAGAGTGTGATGGCCAGGGGAAGGGTGGTGGGGGCTAAGTGGAGGTGGGAAAAAGGGGGAGGAAATAGGGGACTTTTGTAATAGTGTCAACAATAAAAAAAGAGACAGTATCGACTGGACTTTGAGTCCTTTGGTTCTTACACATACTCTGTGTGATTAATAACATTATTTTTATCTTTATATTTTTTATTTGATATACTTTTAACATTTCATAAAATAATTAAATTAGTGATTTAATATTATTTTACCATTTTAGAAGGAGATTGTGATAGTTGCAGTCATTGTATAGAGGGCAGTTTGAGATTTGCAATACTAGGTAATTATTTCCTCTTCTGCACTCATGTGTGTTTTTTAAATCTTTATTGTTGAAGTATTACATATGCCCCTCTTTTTTCCCCATTGATCCCTTCTAGCCCACCCACCACCAACCCCACTCTCAGCCTTCACCACATTATTGTCTGTGTCCATGGCCCGGCCTTCTTGGTTCAGTGGTTGAGCGTCGACCTATGAACCAGGAGGTCACAGTTAGATTCCCAGTCACTGGGCCTGATCCCCAGTAGAGGGTGTGCAAGAGGCAGCTGATCAATGATTCTCATCACTTAT